GCCCCCCGGCCGCGGGCGCTCCCACGTCACCGTCTGCTCAGGAGTCCCCGAGACTCTCTCCGTGTCCTCCACCTGCCGGCGAGCGGGGCGAACGGGAGTTTCCTGGCATGTTCCCCGCCGGCCAACGGAGAGCTTCCCTAGGGCCCTTTGTCCTCCCAGCTGATCTTACCCAATAGCAGAGAGAGCGACGTGTCCCAGAGGGAGGACCGACTCCCACCGCGATACAGGGTTTTCCCTTGTTTTCCTGGCTTGGGTTTCTACTGTCTTACTTGTGCAAATCGGAAAATGATGGGCACAGGGATGTGGCTGTGTTGAACCAAAGTGTACCGCACTTTGTGACACATTTGGCTCACACAGATGGACTGGAAAGGGCAAGCACCGCCCTTTTACAGGGTGTGGGTTGACAGACGTCTCCCAAACCCCAAGAACAGTTGCTCCCAGAATCCCACTCTCACCTTTTGCCAAAAATTGACACAACTGGCCCCAGAGAGGGGCCTATTCTTCTAGAGGCACCTGCCCAACACCAACGAGAGACAAGAATGGCACCTACACCTTGCTGGGGGATGAGCAGTCCACTCCCCCTCAGAAGATCACCTCTCTGCAAGTGCAAAGTGAGGCCCAAAGCAAGATTTTTGGAAACATGCTCCCCCTCCTGTGGGGCTAAAATCAGTTTGTTGCTAAAGCTAGCCTGCTGGTGAGTGTCCAAACTGTCCCTTTGCAGCAGGGGCTAAATAAGGTCTTTCTCCCCTGCTGCTCTGCTTCCCTCTTGGGCAGTCTCTCTCAGGCCTGCTCTATTTCTGGAGTACTCTGATATCCCTGTCTTTATTTGCTGAGTTGGGTGGGGGCTTTGGAGAAGTGTTTGACAGGAAGCCTGCCTACCCCATGGTGACAGGAAGCCTGCCCACCCCATGGCAGCCCAGGGCTCAGGCTCAGGAATTTGCTGGTTCTGCACCCTCAAGGGAGGTGGCCAAGGGCCTGCAGCCTTCTCTCTCTCTTTGGCAGGTCTCTTTCCATGGGCCTTCTCTTTCTCTCTCTCTTCCTTTCTAATCTTCCATTCCTGGTGATTGTCAAGCCAGCCCAGTCCGGCTCCCACTTCTGTCTCTGCAAATCATCCTCCCTTTCCTGGTGCTTGTCCTCTGTTCTGCTAGGGCTTCTGAAATTGAGAGGGAACCCATAAGGGGGCTGAGCCCTCAGTATCCACTTCTGCTGAGGAAAGAATGGATATTTCCCAAACTGAAAATTAGTAAGAGCTGATTAAAAAGTATCCATTCAAAATATTTTTGTGTGTGTGGTGGGGGGAGATTTTTGCTATAGGAGAGACAGAGACAGAAAGCAAGAAATTACATTCTCTCTCCTCCTTCCCCCAAGGGAATGGTCACACCACAATCCCTTTTCCTCTCTGGATCTTGGGCATGCATGCATATGCACCCGGTGTGAGTTTTAAGCTGTGGGGTCTGGGACTTGAACTCTAGTCTACTACATGGGAGTCCAATGACATAACAATTATTGCCATCTACTGATTCTGATGTCCATTTGAATTTTAATGGCCCAGAGTAAGGCTTGAGGTTCCAGACTTTAGCTAAATCTGTCCCTTATGTGGAATAATTGATATCTTATAGGATGTAAAACCCATAAGATAGAAATTGATTTCCTAAGGTCTCACCAATCAATAAAAGACCATGATCATTTCATGACAGATGATCTCATGCACTGGGTCCTCACCTTAGTCCTCTATCTTTTATTTTTTAAATTTCTTTTCTTTTCTTTTTAGGTTTTTTCCACAGGGCACATGGGACACAGGGAGAGGCAGTGAGAGGGAAAGTGAGAAATCACCCCGCAGAAAGGATGGCCATGCTGCAATCCCTCCCCCATTCTCCTCCTGGGAATTTTAGTACCTGCGCTTGGTTTGAGTTTCAAGCTGCTGGATCTGGGACTCAGACGGTGGTTGGCCATGTGGGAGTCTAGTGCCTTAGCGACCATGCATCCTCCATATTGCCCTTACAATGTATGTTCGGAACTTCTGGGTCAGGCTAGACCTTTTGAGCAAGAGCTGCCTGCTCTCCTTGCTTTGTGCAGGAGAGCTGTGCTTTCCTCCATCACACGTCGTGTCTACAGTTAGGCTTCTGGCACACCGACAACTTGTGCAACAGCCTCCTGCTTCCAAGTTCACTCTTGGGCAATTCACTCTCTCAGTTGCCGCAAATTGCCCTGCTAAAGCAAACTCTGATCTTGTCATTCCTGATGAAAAACCTTCAGGATGATCTCATCACCTACAGGAATGAGACCAAATTCCTTAGTAACTAGAAATATGGCCCGCATGAAGCCACTTTGGCAGCTGTCATCTCTGCATGTCCAAAGCTTCAGGACAGCTCCTCGGTTACTGAGAACTAGGCCTTTTTTACCCTCTGCTGTTTCTGCTTTGGCTCTCCAACACCTGCTTTTCCTGGTGAGCTCAAACTTTGAGAGCCAGCTGATATAGTTCTCAGTTCTCTCATGTAATCTTCACTGCATTTATGGGGCACTGCATAAGCCTCTGTCTCCACACTTACTGCCATGAATTGATACTATTCATCATTCATAAATCTACCTCTTGGCCCCTAGAGGGGGTTTGGAGGGGTTCTTATGTGCTGTTCTGCCTCAGAAAACACTCATTCCTGTTTGCTAACTGCACAACAGAATGCAAGATGACACACTACAGGGCTGTCTGAATGTCTTTTACATTTTCTCACATGAAAAATACTTGGGCAGCCTATGGCGTGGTGGATAAGGTGGCAGATCCTATATAGCCAAGTGTGTGGTTCGAGTCCCAGACCTGGTAACTTGAAAAACATACTAGGTACATATGTGTGCGTGTGCCCGAAACCCAAAAGGAGAGAGAAATGGGGTACAGATTGTGGTGTGTCCATTCCCCATGGTGGTGTGGAGGGTGTGCTGTCTCTCTCTCTCTCTTTCTCCAAAAAGGGCCCAAACTCTCTGGCAAAATTAAAACAAAATGAGACAAAAATGATAATTGTATGGCACACTGGGGTAAGCTAGTGGGGATCTACATAATTAATGGTCTATATTAACAATATTTTCCAAAAGCACTAAACTTTAAGTTTTATAAAGATTAAATGTTGATCTTTTATAAAATATTAATGAAATATTAATCTTTTTATAATAATCTTATGAGTATAAGAAAAATTTTTAAATGGATTAAAGGAGATAGCAAATTTGTGTAAAATTTCAAAATGAAAGATCTTTATCCCTTTCATGAGTGAGCAAAAGAGACAGAGATAGCAC